TAACCTGGATCCTTCCGTCTGGTATGCACTATTATTGTTAGCCCGAACATCCTTGTGGTCTGTTTTGGTTGTTTCTCTTATCCACCATATTTCGGTGCTCGGAATCCAATTTAACTGTGGAGCGCAACGTGTTGTCACATATGATATCCACCCGCCTATGTTATCCTACTGGAAGCCACTCGCAGAGCGTTAGCGCTGCGCATCTGAAACACGACGTTCAGTGAATCAAGTTGAGTTAGGTTTTCTGTGGCCTGCTCTCAGTTTAGTACTACACAATATGCGGCAGGTAAGATAATTCGCTTTAGAGCGTTTCCGTGGCGTATATGACTTAATGTTGGGACACTGAGTTTCACTTGGAGCCGCAATAGTATTTTCAGAACCCATGTAACCGGGAACTACTTCGCACATTTCTTTACGCTTGAACGCACCAGTTTAATTCAAATAACCCGCTATATCTTTCCCATCATGTTGAACAGCTCTCCAAGAGTCAAAACAAAGTCTCGACAACGGTCAAAATCCTTTTTTTGTAAAGCAAAGCATCCTTTATACTGTATGCAAGTGGGGGCGTTATTTGATCGCGACGTCTTCACGTTGACTACTTCATTTTTGTGTCTGTCGGTGCTCCTTGGTCAATGTGTTCTGCTTGCCTCAATCAACCCCTACTTCGACTGCGTTGTTCGCCCCGAGCCATGCCTAGACACAATAACTCTTTCTTGTCGGCTTGACTAACATACGCTTCGTCCGTCCACGATTGTTCCATCCAATTCGCTTCATCGTTATTCGTGACAAGGTTGTGTTTTTTCTTCATATGTTGAGCCGCTCCCAGCTCCTATCTGTTACGTCCATGTGCGATTAGTTTCCGTTAACAATAACTGATGGCCCCATGCTTGCCTACAACCCACTGACCATCTTCGCTCAAATGACCAGCACACCGAACTGCGGCATGGTTAATGCTAGCTGATCGTGCTTAGACACTGTTACCTACGAAATCGTGATCACATCTGGTGGGATCCGCAAGTGAATTTCATCAACTGGTTAAGCGAATAATGTGCAGGAAGTAACACCGAAATGCTGAGTCGATTTGATGTTTAACGTCTTCCTTCTTGAGATTCAGAGGTCAGTCTACTCGGTGATTGGATGCCGTTTCGGATATGGCATTGTCGCGGAGTCAATGGCACACTTGCATTAGTCCCCTAGTTTCTAAATCTTAGCGCCTTCATCTGACATTGTGCTCATTGTTATTACTTTTTCTAGGGATATTTTTGTTATTACCTCCGTTCGTAGCAGTATCAGTATGACGTTAACCGAAGCATCCAAGAAAGGGATGTCCAAAGTCCGGCTTGCGGGCCAAATGCGGCCCGCGTTAAATTTTCGACTAGCCCGTGGCCTCATCATGAACCAATAAATCCATGCTTAGCTTTTCCCATACAGACGACATTATATAGATTACAAAAAGATTAAGGACCTTGTTAGTACCGAATTCCATGGCGTCAAATGCTTGCTAAAATGAATAATGCAGTACTATTTATCCTTAGTCAACCATTGTAAGTCCTTCTAGTGCTTTTACTAAAGGGAGTCTTAACTGAATCAAAAATATGAAAGATGGGTTCGTTAGCTTTATATATATATATATATATATATATATATAATGTACATGACTAGCTAAAGTTAGCTCGTTCCGTGTATGGTTTTTTGTTTTGTAGGTTACCTCAGTCTCTAATTTTTATTGTGCCACAATTTACTTTAATTTACCCCCTTAGACAAATTTTCACCTTTCTGATTATTTAATTCCATAAAAAGCCAACTTTTTCTACTCCACTTTCATAACTCTTATGATTAAAGGGTTTTGACTAAACTGAAAAAATATATGGTGGCGGTTCTGCTCTTCCCAATACTACCAGTGTTGGGAAGAGCAACACCCAAATATTTCCATTCAGGATGCGATCAACGAGATCGGAATGACCAAGGTTTACCTCAAAGTGAACCAAGCTCTCGATACAGGTTGCGACTCGCAACCCAACCACACAGCGTGCTCCCGAAATTCAGCTTTAAAATGGGGTTCGTTAATTTTATATATATGTTTGTCATTCCTGTTCTAAAAGGGAAAATACGACTAAGAGAAAAATGTTGATGACGAAGGACGCCGCTTCCAAGAAAAGCGGAAACTAGAGTGTTTTTTTCACTGAACGACTGAATAAGTGTGTGTGTGTGTGTGTGTATGATTTGTTTGGAGCGTTTGGTTGTTTTCAAGGAATTCCATATCAAGCGACAATGCCAAACGAAGCATGCTATGACAACTTGACTGAAATGGACGAGTTGAGAAAGTGAAGCAATTGGAAGCGGGTATAAACTCCCAGCATAGCTTGTCTGCAAGAATCAGTCAGTCAAATGCAAACGCGACAAAGACAAGTTATGAGGTGGCAAAACTATTAGCGAAACACTGCAACCCATCTACTGAAGGTGAATTTGTCAAAGGATGTATGTGGAAAATTGTGGAAAATACTTATCCTGAGAAAAAGCAAAAGTTTGTCAATGTTTGCTTAACACGCTGCACTTTGGTTCGTAGGAATGGATACATCTCTGATACGAAGAGACAACTACAAGTAAAAGGAGCAAAATATGACATTTTTCGGTAGCTTGTGATGAAAGCACTGTTGCACCTGACTATTTCCAGCTTCTCATATTTCTGAAAGGACTTAACGATGTCATGAGTGTGTGATTGAGTGCCCTTAAGGACCAAACACGAGGAAAAGATTTATTTGCTTCTGTGTGTTCTGCAATCACTGACATTAAACTATCATGGATAAAGTCTTTGGAATTATTACTGACGGTGACCCAGCCATGACTGACGAGCAGTGGATCACCAACACTTGTCTGTAACAACGTCAGCGAAGAGCGGGGTAAAACCATCCAACTGCACTGCACTAACAGGTTTTTCTTGCCAAACATCTTAGGAGTGATCGTGCTTTTAGGCTAGTTATAAAGGATATCAACTATCTTTGCTCCAAATCCCTGTTTCATTGTCAGTTTTGGTAGTTTCTACTTGACATCTAGGGTGAAGACGGGGATGTGTATCACAGTGATGTAAGATGGCTCAGTCTGGAGAGTGCACTTCATCCCTTCTAGTCTCTTAGAAGTGGGTCGATCCTTGGAAAGTGAGGAACAATTGATGCCAGAACTATCTGATCCTGCTTGACTGGCTGATTTTAGATTTTTGGTTGATATTACACTGCACGTGAACATGTTGTACACAAGCCTTCAGGATCAAAATGCAGTGGTAAGGCAATTTTCTTCACACATCAAAACCTTTAGGAATACACTACGACTTTTCTAAAGACAACTATGTCAAACTCTCCTAATACCACACATATTCCATCACAACAGTAAATGATGACAAGTCTTCTAGAACAACATCAATGCACAAATGCAGTAGTATGTCGCAGATATTGTATCCCTGGAAAATGAGTTTCAAAGGCGTTTTCATGAGTTTACGGCCATTGAAAAGATCGAGCGTTTTTCTTTGCTTTTGTGGACCCTAACAATGCTTCAGGCTACCTGCAATTGGCGCGCATTGAGTTGCCAAGTGATGTTCAATGTCGCGGTCCGCATCAACAACTCTCTCGTCCATTTTCCCCCACCATTTTGATAAAGACAGATTCCAAAAGATTCAAACATTTGCCAAGAAATCGCTCAGCTTGTTTGGCTCGACATACTTGTGTGAGCAGACAATCTCAGTTCTGAGTTTCATCAAGAACATGTGAGGACAAGACTAAGTGATTCTGATTTACGTGATATCTTGCCTATCAAAACCAGTGTCTTTGAGCCTGGCCTGACCAGTTCACTGCAGTCAAGATCTCAGTTTCACCCTTCACCTTAACCTTCACTGTAACCTATGTCAGTTTTGATTATTAACTTAATGTCAGACTGAATATGGCTCGGTATATTTTTACCTCACAAAATGTGACCTTCCTTGCGAATAGTTGGAAAACCCTTAATCTAAGTTCTTCGCACCTTTTTATACGGTTCATAGTTGACAAACTGTAGAAAACACACCATTGCACTTGACCATCGTGCTTGGGTCTACATTGCCTGAACCACGTAGATGGTTCTACGCGCACAAACACTTCGTACCGACGCCATTGTGCCTGTTACCATATACCATCTGACGACTTCACAACCACTCGATTGGTTCCTCAACTAGACGGCAGCCTTTCACAGTTACGGATAGACATATAGGGTCGGTCTTTTGCTATCCACGGCATGCGGTTTCCTTCTCTGTTCCATTCGCGAGCCGCATTGCATAGGCTTATATCCCGCCAAATTGTAGTTACTAACATGTTTTTATCCTCAAGTCGTGCGTTTGAGATGATCAGTTAACGATAATTGTGATGGCTTTTACTCTGGACTTGGTGTTTCTCGGTTATGTGTCTCTTTTACTCTGTTACCCAGATGAGCTCGTTTGTCATAAAAATCCATCTTTTCTTCAGCAAATGATTGCTTCCCAAGACAACAAGTCTTTTGGTTCAGCATACATCGGTTCTGCTCAACTGCTTACGCATGTTTATCCCTATGGTTTAGTGGCCTCGCCCATACAGCGCGGTTCGGCACATTACTTTCACACTTCTGCTATATCCGTCTTCACTGCACTGTCGTCCCAAGCGTCGTCTCATCATTATCTTATTTTCCTTCTACATACTTCCTATAATCGGTGGATTTTTCATTCTGGCAATATATTTAGATTGCGTACTCTAGTCACCGGAAGTTACAACGTTTCTTGTCCAATCATTACACTTCTCGCCCTACACACATCCACAGTTGCATACTCTTTTTCCGTTCTGAATGCACCCGGAGTTAGTCGGTTATGGTAAGCACCGGGTTGTTTACACTAATGCACATTGCACATTACGCATTTATAGTACATGATGCACTTTCGGAGTTTGGTTGTCTATGCAGCTGGTTTTACTTTTACCTTTTTAATTCAGTTTATCCATCCCTTTTAGTGCATCGTAAATACTGAGGAATTCAAGAATCTGAATCCGGACCTTGCTCCAAGCCTCTCCGAAGTGGAGCGTGGCATTCGTGATGGATTCCTCGCGTTGGATGAGCGTATGCGTCAGTTGCCGCAAGTCGCGAGTGGAGAAGACAATTCGGGATCCACGGCAGTGTGTGTCCTAATCACACCGAAACATATTTTCTTTGCCAATTGTGGGGATTCCCGAGCTGTGCTCATTCGAAAAGGACAAGTTGCATTTGCCACAGTGGATCACAAACCTGTGAACCCCACGGAGAAGGAACGTATCCAAAACGCCGGTGGCTCTGTGATCATTGAACGCGTGAACGGATCACTCGCTGTATCTAGGTGAGTTCGTAGCGGAGTGCTCTAGCTTTCATGCGCTGATCAGCACTTGATAAACGCGTCTCTTTAGGTTTATAGGTGCTTAGCAGTGTGCTGGTATCCCTCGCGCTGCACATACTAGTAACTTTTGTTTGAACTCTCCCGTCGCTTCTCTCGCGTACAATTTACGATTCTCAAGCGTCTGCTCTGAGCAAACCCGGAAAATAACCGCTTGGTCTGAGAATCTACCCGCATCCATGCTCAGATATCTGTCGTTCATCGGCCCCCTTTCGGGTTCCGCCCGCATGACTTCTGGATGCCAGCAGCTAGTGCCACCTCTCCATGGGTGACAGCCGCGGATCTGCACGATTGGCAGTTGACTATGATATAGCCTGGCTCATCTTCCACTGTCATGCCAGTTACGCACTGTGCAGGGGACAGTGGCACTAGCTGCTAGCATCCATAAGTCATTGGGGGGGGAGGGGAACCCGGCAGGGGCCCGCTGGGAGGTGCACCACTGACGAGACACAAAAGGTTGAAACGCCGACGTCTACTGCTTTCCCAGACTGACCTAAGCCTGCTGATTGAGAGTGGCATTGGTGCATCAGCTGAATTATACCGAACTCCTCACTACTCCTCTGTAATATATAGAAATCTCTCCGTTTAGCTTTTAAGTCCTCGTGCTGTGCCGGATCGCTAGGTGGAAGGTCCTAGCTCGTGAGACTAGCCACTGTCCTCTGCACAGTTCGTACCTGGCATGGCAAATATGAGCCAGGCTATGTCATAGTCAACTGTCGATCATGCAGATCCGCGGCCGTCAGCCATGGCGAAGTCGCACTAGTTGCTGGCATCCAGCAGGATCAGTAATTTTCAATACCTTTCAACGGAAGTGGTGCAACATGAAAACAGCAGGTCCCTGGTTGGAACCACTTTAGTTCATTTAAAGTTAGAATTGAGGGCCTTAGCTGTCCTCCCTGATCTCACTTTCATCACTTTTTCGTTTCGTTCCTGCACTTGCCAAGGGCACAGGGATAGTTTTCTTTTGGTTTGCGCAGCAAAACAGACTGAGTACAATGGGTTACTTTTCGTGATTTTATCTACAGGCTTTGTGATACCTACTTTTGACCCGGTGTTTTGGGACCTAATACGTCTGTAGGAAATCGCTGAAGCTGGCTCCACACAACACCGCTTAAACTCAAGCACGCTCTTGCGAATCTATGGCTGAAATTTATTTAAGCGGACTCAGTGGGCACTGCTGACATTCACCTTCATCTATGTTTCAAGTTCTGCCTGCTATGAATACGAAGGTATAGCATGTTTGTTCGTCCTTGACTCAGAAAGTACACACGCTCTCGGCACTATTCCCTCACTACTTTGCAGTTAAGTCACGGGGCTCGGCTTTGTCGCGCGTTATCTCGCTGTCAAACAATGGTATACTTTGTCGTCTATCCACTGGTTAAAGTTTGCGGAGTCATGCTATGTCCGAATTCAGTTTATCTGCTCTGTCACGTATGAAGGCATATAAAGCGATCATTTGGTTCATCCGAGTTATAGGCATTATTATTATTATTATTATTATTATTATTATTATTATTATTTAACACTTGACCAGTATACAATTGGCTGTGCCACAACACATAGTTAACAACAAAATCATGCGGAAAACAGTTAGTCAGTGGAAGGGTTAAGAAGCGTTAGAAGGTCGATGCGCTGTGTGGGCAGTGATCTTCCCGGTTGCCCAGGCCGAGGAAGAGGGCTGACTTAAAGGACCCTACCCCCGAGCCTTTGGTCATAAAGACCTGACCCGCAAGGCAGCGGGTTGATTAAGGAAGACCGCTGACAGCCGGGTAGCTCGTACCCCTTCTTTGTGTTCGGTAGCAATCCACAAAGAAGCCGGTGGCCAAACAAGATTGTTCATCCGCCCTTCGTTAGGTACTTACCTCTGGCTACAGCAGTGAGTTGTCAGTGATCCTATGGCCCGTCACATTGTCTTTGATACAGCGCTGTACGAGCTCTTGTGATATTTGATGGAGTACCAACCATGAACTCCCCACGCTCTGAGACCCTGCCACTGACCGTCCTCGACTGCTTATTCATCTCGCCTGCAAGACACGCGACTTATTCGCAATTACTTCCACAGGAAAGCATTCCTCAATCCGGAACCTGGGGACGCGCCCGGTAGCGTACAGCTCCGCCACGCATTATATTGGCATACGGAGTGCTCAGTCTTGGTTTACTGCTACGTTGCTCTCGATTCACACAGCGCTTGGCTCTACCTGGCTACTATCGGCAACTTGGATCCCCTCATGGTTCTCTCTTGTAGAAGTGATGCATGTTAAGTGAGATTCTTTCCCATGGAACTCAAAGATAACCAGTGATGTCCCTTGCACTAGCCGTTATTCTCCTTCCATCTGGATGAGACCTATTGTTGAGGCGGCCACACGTATGCACCGTTCAGTCACTCAGTGCATTTCCATCATTCCTTTTTGATGACTCTTCAGTTACATCTTTCTCTTTTTATAGTTGTTTTCTTTCGCAAGTCGTAACATATTTCTTTTTAATTCCCCCTTTACACTTGAGCTAGTCTTACGCATACCCGTACTTCAACGCTGACTTCATGTTTGACCGGTATGCACCTAAGCCTCGAGCATTTGTCTTTTTATCTAATCTGTCTTCAGTGTTGAATTGCAGTAACCCGTAGAGAGCTGCGCTTACCCCATCAACTACCATCTGTTGTGCTTAAGGACGCATGCAGAGATACGCACCGTTTGTCTGGAAACTTGTTTTTGAAATTGCGGTTTGAGATAACGGTAGCAATGTTTTAAGGTCAGCAAGTTCTCCCCTTGTCGCTCTGCTTGGCTGTTCCAGAAAACCTGCCCTCCTCGGTTGGCTGATCAAAAGGACACGATCGTAGCTACAGTCTAATGGCCACCAGACACGAAATGATCACAGCGCAAAGCACCGGTATTTGTTTGTTCACAGCGACCTTCTTGAACCTCTGTTCTCTTCCATTCTTTACTTTCCAATAATAGTATTAGGTCATGCGAGAACATTCTTTTATCAATCGATGCGATTATTCTCCTTGGTTTCTGCAAAATGGCTGTTGTTTGATTCGTTTAGGGTTCACTAATCCACTACTCCTCCTAACACAATGGACTGCAGTATCCTCAACGTCACCCGCGAATGACCATACTGGCGCCCATCTTATAGAGTAGATGTCCTAGATGCACCGTATGTTCTTTAAATGAGTAGTTGCAGAACCTCGAATTTCCGCAGCCTAGTAAGGACAAGTTTCGTTTTCGGCCTTGTATAGTGATGATTTCCAAAACGGAACAGTTGGTGTAATCTCAACTGCTCCCCCATTGTTGCATGTATCTTTGTGCGAAGCGTTAACGTTCAAGATAAAGGAACACTGAAGGGCAGCCTTGATTGGAAAACAATGTCTTGTCACGAAATATGCGAAGAATTCAATTCCGTGCCTCCTTCCGCAGCTTGTATGAACTATGCTACTCAGTATCGGGTCGGAATAATTCACGCATGTCGGAAAATTTTCCCATGGGAGTTCACATCTCTTTGATGACTTTTCTGTCCTACTGATCTGCAGACAATCATTATTTCCTCTCGACGTCAGTTGTATAACTAGCAATCTATTCCCCATCCAACTCGAGGATTTTGCATTCGTCCCAGCGGATCACATGCCTGCTTTGTAATCTGAAGGCGCGGGTTCGAGCCTGCATAGGTAGCGGGCTAACCTCGCACTGTCCTTAGCCCACGTATGACCGGTGGTGGTTACGCGGCAGCGAAGGGTCGGTACTGCGTACCGGCGTACGGCTGATGCCTTGACCTAGAAAACAGTTAACCCACGCGACGGGGTTGCTGCGCGCAGCAACCACTATGCTGCCTACCAGCCTACTCGAAGATACTGATGGTCATGTGACTAGATACAAGTGTGAAATTGCGGGCACCTTAACGCGAGCACGATAAGGTGTAACAGAATCCTGCCTACTTCTGTACGTTTCCGCAACCAGCACCATTCGTTGATTCAAAGTGCAATATTTACAGTCTCTGAAAATAGCGTCTTAATGATAAAACACCCTCTCAATGGTTTTATAACTGGCCACTACGAACAACCACTATGACAGGCAGACACCCAACTCCCATGTACATTTCTATGCACATTTTAGATCTCTAGGTGATTATGCCTACAAAACGGACAAAGCTTTGGGTCCCACCGAACAACTCATCTCACCTGAGCCAGAAATCACCGTACTGGACCGGGACATGAGTGTGGATGAGAGTATCGTGCTCGCATGCGACGGTATCTGGGACGTGCTCAGCTGCGACGCCTTGTGCGAGTTGTTACAGCACCGAATGCGCTGCACCAACGACTTATCTGTGGTTTGCAACGAGGTTGTCGATTTGTGTTTGTACAAAGTGAGTGTACTTGTTTCTCTTTGAATTTGCATGCTTGCTCCGGGTGCAAATCCGTTTCACCATGCTGTTGCCCCCGGGCTTCCAGTCGTTCTTGCGGTGCGTTGACATTCGACATACTCGTCGGATTTTTACGCAGCAGTGTTGATCTTGCACTGCATAGGATGAGTACGTGGTCATTTCCTCGTTGCCATTTCTTTAGCTCCCACTTGCAGAATTATCGCAGTTTCCCACTGTTAAACTACTACCTCAGTTACATCCGGAAGTTACGCCGCTGCTGGCAAATAAACGTATAAACAGTATTAGTGAGTAGTAGAGGGTTATTGGGTTTTGGTGAAGATTAGTCACAACTAGTCTCAGACAGACAGCCGACACACATCCAAGGAATAACTAGACGGCCCTTTCGTCCTATTGGGGCTCGTCAGTAGCGCGCACCCACCGAATCTTGCCGGATTCGAACCCACAACCTTACTTTCACGAGCCAGCGACTGAGCCATGAACGACGGCAGCGGACCGCCGTGACTGATATCTGACAGCATGTTATGGACGTGCAGAGGACAGGGCTGGTCTACAGTGCAACGACTTTGTTTGCAAGTTGCCACCAATCGAGATGGCATGTAAGCTACTAAGGCGATTACTGGTACCTAGTGAGTAGCAGGGGTATTTGTCGTATGTATTCCACAACAATGCGAGATAATTCAACTGAGTGGTCAAATCAATATTCTCTGCCACATAGAACGGGCATTCGTTCGGATCTTTGGAGTGAGTAACAAAATGAGGAAATTGCAAACAACCATAGCAAATGCCATAAGCCGCATTAGGTCGATGCTTTTCGTTAAAAAGCGATTTTCGGTTAGTCTCATGCTGTGCTTGATGTAAACTCAGGACATTTGTCTTTCCTCTCGTTTATCTGCATGTATACTTACACACTCAAACGATTGTCTATAATTGCTAGTTATAGTTATCGGCATTGAGAGGACGATGCGAAATGCACCCATTTGCCGAACTGGAAAGCACAAACTGTTTTAAATTCAGATAAAGCTATATGTTGAAGTGAATTAATATGGCTATCCAAGGGACCTGCTTCCATGGAGTGTTTTCCATCGAAAGGTTTCACCTGCACTACAATGCCCCGTCTGGTCATGTTGTAGGGAGGCGGAAGGCAGCGCTTGCCCAAAGAACGGTTAGATCATTAAAACGGAGGCGGACGAATAGAGAGACCGAGGTAATGGGGGCGATTGGCTGGAGAAACCCAGGCCCAACAGAACGGGACGAAAACGGGACAGCAGCGGCATCCGTGGGTGAGCCCGAGGCAGGCAAAGCAGGTGAAGAATTTGTTGAAGACGCAATAAATCGGACAAAACCGCCGGTATGGCATCGTCAAGGAACAACCCCGGGGTGAGTGACACACCCACGGTCAAGCAAAACGCACGCTATCAAACGACTCCGGGCTTGTCAGAATCGGAGGCGTGGAAGCGAAGAGACACGAGCGAAACGGACATAGAAGATGCGTTCCCGTACACCCGAAAGGAGCATAAAAGTGCTACGAGCGGAGGCCAGGAGGGATGGTGCAGCGTGGGAAAGAAACCTGACACATTAATGTGCGCCTGTGTGAGTGGTTAGATAGTGTGTGTGTTCGCGTCAATAAAGATCGTGCTTCATTGCCGCGTTGTCTTGTCGCTACAATGTGTCGGTGTGGCAAATAGGTCGTAAGGCATCACCACTTGAACCCACTATTAAAACTGATTTTCATGCATACATCATAAGCGATCAAGCCTCCAGTCCACTCCATCATACGGCTCCTTAGAGCACGGGATCTTCTCATGCCCCAGTGAGTCAGTAGCAATATACTTACCGTTTGTTTAACTTTTCACTTTGTTGTTTCAATCCTTTACCTCAGGAGATCAGCTTAATGGTGGCCAACAATGAAATAAGAAAAGAATATGAAAACAAGGATAACATTATGTGAAGTAATGAAAAGAATTAGAGAAATGCTTTCAAATTTGGTTACGCTTTTCGCATGGGGATATAAACGCTGCGAGTCCAACAGAGGGGACTCTGAGACTACCGGCTAACATTGTTACCCCCCTACGCCGCTGAGTGGTCGACAACGCTCGCCACATTGGTTGATGAAAACGGCACTAGACAGATTAGCACTGGCTGTCAGCCTTTTCGAGCTTTGGTTTGCACCCTTAAAGTGCAAAGCTTTCCTAAAAGATCGACAGGGTCCGCCTCCTGCGCTGACCCTTGATGGGGATCAGCTGGAGGTCGTTCAAAAACTCAACTGCCTAAGTAGTTATATCAGCGCTGTTGAAACTGAAGACGAGATCACAAACCGTATAGGAAGATCACGAGGCACTTTTGCTAACCTTTACCACATATGGCGCCGGTCCGACATTATTCTCTCCCTGAAAGGCAGACTGTACAATACAGCCGTACGTTTGACCCTCCTGTACGGTTGTGAAACGTGGCCCATTAGACCAGCCGACATAAAGAGGCTAGTTCCGTTCGACCACCGGTACCTTCGCGTTTTGCTTCATATCAGGTGGGAACACTGTGTTTGCAATGAGTTTTCGACGCCTTGGTTATGGCTTAGGAAGAAGAAGCGAACCGTTGAGCAACCTTATCCACGCACCAGGCTCCGATGGTTTCGCGTGCCAGCCCACCGACTCCCGCGGCGTGCATTGTTTTTGTGCCAGGGGTTTAGATGGAAGAAGGGGAGAAGTGACCAAGCGATGCCTTGGTGAAGATGAATGAAGGCATTTTCTTCGAAGTTGGCCTCGGTTGGAGCATGTAGGCTCCCTGGTTGTGTTTCGAACGACTGTGAATACGTTGGCTGGATACACTTGTTAACATGGCAAGGAGTCGACACCAATGGCGTTTATGTTGTGAGTTTCTGTGTCCCTCCCCTTCCACTTACTCTCCCCCTACAATCACGATCTCAGTTACTAGGAATAATGTAACTCTTTGCGGCATAATAGCCGGCTCTCCGGAACAATGTCCATCCGTTACTAGTGATTGCTGGCGTGCGTCCATCGCATTCTTTTCTTTTGTTTTGCGGCATAATTGCTGAGGTCTTTTTCACCTTTAGCTAACGTGTATAAAGGTGACTGGTTAATAGTCTACTCTCGTTTCATTTCACTACCAATAACCTTTGCTATGCACTTTATGAGTCGCCGTTCATCGGCCACCCCATTCTGCTAAGCGACGTTTGGGACTTCATTGGCTTGGCGCTCAACACACAGACCGACAAACGCTCGATTCATAGTTGCGCCCATTATCCCCACTTAAAGAACGCAGGTAATCGCGAAAACTATCGAAGAGCACATTGTGGAATCATGGCTGATACTCTCTGCACCTGGGATGCGGTTATAACTTGGATTTACCTCACACTAAGTCGGGGTTCAAATTGAGTCACCAGTCAGTGGATAGTGAGCGGCGCTATATCACATCTAGTGAATTAGTCACGACGGTCGTCCCCGTCCTCCCTAGCTGAGTGATCTCATCGACAGACCGGAACCAGTCGAATTGTGGATTGGAGCCCTACAAGGTCAGGTGGAATGCATACTGCTGACGAATCTCGAAAGGTTAAAACGACTATATATATATATATATATATATATATATATATATATATATAAGTCTATAAAGTGGACATTGAGTCCTTCAAAACCATAGAAATTTAGCTAAGAACAGGAATATTTGCAACGATGTCAATAAGTGGCGAAACAGCAATAAATCTACTTTGTCCTTTTTACATGCTGTTTTTTCATTATTTTTGTTACTTTTAAGGGGCTGTTACTTTCGAAATCAGAAGTTCACGCCGACTAGCGCGCATTTTTTCACATGGACCGGTTTTCTGCCATTATTTCGAGTGTTGTAAGCCATTGACATTCTTCATCTTTCGGTCCTCAACCTGGAAAGCGTACCGGACCAGCAGTTGATAGACAGTGTGTCAGCGATTTGATGCTTTGTCGCCTGGTGGTCGGCTGGCCACCACGCGGCCTCTTTCAGTGCAGCCTTGCATGCAGAATAGAGCGCTGCGTGACAATCGCTTGTCAGACATGTGCAGGACGTGGCCAAGCCATCTCAACGGGGGCAATGGAAAGCTCATAGAGCGGGGAGGTTCGTTTTGCCTATGTCGCGTTGTCTGAAATCAGCATTATGCACCTGATGTTACCACCACACACATGGACGCTCATCCTCAGACAACCGTTGTCGAGGGCCGAAATCCTGCGGCCAGGATTCGCATCTATATAAACGTATCGCCCGAACATAGGCATTGTAAACCCTGCCTTTTAGCAAGAGCGAGATGTCGCGACTACGCCGCAAGTGTTTCAAATTCGCAAGGACTGAGCGGGCTTTAGCGACACACAGAGACATCTATTGTCCAATAGTTCCGTTTTTAGATATACTGCCCCCAAAATTATCCACTTGCTCAAGCCAAATCTTTTCGATGGCGAGCTGAAGGAGAGCATTCTGCCAATCCTGTACCAACACTTTGATGGTTAAAAGCACATATCTTGTTTAGACGCTTCAAACACCAGTTGGTCAAGGATCAGGTGAATACTCTAAGGGTTGTCACCTAGCAAGACGATATCGTCTGCGTAATCTAGGTTGGTCGCACGACTACCTGGAAGGAGCTCAACTCCAGCATGTCAAAAGCCCTCTATAGCTCCCAGCAGGACATCGATCACGAAGTTGAAAAGAAATGGAGACATAAGGCATCCTTGTCGCAAACCACTGGTGATAGAGAAGACTGCAAAGAGCATACCCTAGACTCTTACTCTGCCTGAACTTTGGATGTGTAGTGCCCGAAGAATAACGACGTACTTTTCCAGGACTCCATTCTTCGGTGGGCGCTGCCATTAGGCAGTTCAGTCTGTCGAGTGAAATGCGGCTCGAATGTCCACAGAGACGACGATGTGGATCTGAGATATACTTGCTGATGTTCAAGGAGCTAAAGAATCATAAATAAATGATCCATGCAACCTCTGCCAAGG